GTTACCTTATGTAGCGTGTTCATTCTGCGTTATTTCCTTTAGCAGCGGAGGCCTAGCCTCCAACCGCTGTATCTATTTTCTCCCTTAAACATTCATGGTTCACACGATTCCCATCTAGCCTCCAAACTAATCATGCCATAAAAATCTGTCCAGCATGAAACAGTAGCTAAGAATGTGAATCAGACGCACCAACTATGTGGCAGTTACTCTGAGGAATTGAAAGAAAGAACAGCCGACTGCAATTTATGTATCATGAATAAATATACGTTTTTCATTATGGTTGTTTTTTTTTTATATATAATATATATATTAATTTTTTTTTTTTTTTTGAATGGTTCTGGCTAGTAAAAATGCTGCTAAAAGCTCTGTGTGAAATAGTTGACATAAAAAGAAGCAGCAATATTGAATAACAGTTATGTTGTTGATGTGGCTGTGTATTACTTCCTGTATGGGAGTGAAATATCCGTTTCACAGTTTGAGCCAGATATTTTTTAGATGGCTAGGTTAAACAAAGTGCATCCATAAAATAAAAAGTGTTATTAACATTGGAGTTGTTCATGAGAGAGAAAAAGTATCGGACTGGTATCCGTATGCCAGATGCTTATGGTTGCAGTATCATATCGGATATGGTAAAGTGGTATTGAGCCATCCCTAGTTTCAAAACAATCATTGGCTGATTTTGTGTCTTCAGACTTGATTTAACGTTTGCAACCTGATGCAATTCAACTGTAATGAGCAGGACAACGCTCAAACATCTCCACTACCTATACTCATATTATTTTCCATTATCATATTGAATAATTAATATTATATTATTGTTGCCCCCACATGTTTCTGTTTGTTTTATAAATAAGAACCGGAAATGAAAAATTTTAAGTCTGCATCCATGAAAGCAACAATGAACGTAGCCATGAAAGTATGGCTTTGCTTCCAGGCTGCTGCAAACACCATGAAAAACAATCTGCTTGTATGATTAATCTATTGTTAGAAATTCTGAATTTTATATTTTAGAAAACAGAACAGGAGCAACAGTCTGGAAACACAAATATTTTTCAATATTCCCTTTTCTTTTTTCCAAACTTATCCCGAACAGGAAATGACTCAAATCAAATTCCAAACTGCGTAAGAACCCTTTGTATTGCAGTTCAAATTCCAACAATGGGAGTGATGTCAGTATGCCACACAATGCTAACTTCAGATTTCTGTGTAAATCACCTGAGTGAAAATGATGAATGCATACGTAATGGAGGAATTGAAAATTTCCTATAATACCATACAAGGCTAGTTCATTCATGAAAATGGTTCTATCATTTGTTACAGTGTCAGGTGTGGAATTAAAGGACCTGCTAAACCATAGTGGGAAAAAGTAACCAGTGCTGTTAATGCCGTGTCAATGGTGGGTCGTACTGTTGCTAGAATCAAGTGGTTTGATATAAAAAGCAAGGCCATCGGTGAGTGCAACGCAAGGGGGTTAGGGTTGCACAATATGGTAAAAATATTAGAGTGATT